ATACAAATTCCTGAATAAGACTCAGTTCAAGTCCCGAAGATATTCAAACTTTAAGGCGATGACGTGTCTGTTACAATTGATGTGTCACCCATTCATTGTTGAATCACATAAATATTATTCAGTATACATTCCAATGAATGTCTTTCTCCAAGAATTTTGTCAGGGCACGTTTGTAGGTAAAGAGAATACATTAACTTGAATTCAATAATTTCAAGATAATATAATTTATCGAAAACTAGTCACAGCATACTACAACTTATAATGCTAGCTGTTAAAGCACGACTGGTAATACCTACACAGCCACAATATAATACAGTTATCTGCTTGACCTCAAGGTCATAATTAAAGTTTCTACAACCAACCATTACCTAGTGAAAAGTAACCTTCCTGAATGATCTTATGAGCCTTGTATATTTATAACCCTTATCAACCTATTTACTCATTGTTTATCTGAATAATAATCTTTATAATAAGCTCACGCACATACAGAATATGAAGCAATTATTAGTTATTTACATAGATACAAATATAAATCAGGTCAAGCAGAAATGAACTCAGATTTGGGCATGTTCTTTGCTAGGAAACAATGTTATATCATTAAATATGTAATGAAATAAAACAATTTAAAAATTACTGAAAAAAGAATAAATTAAACATAGATGATATGTTAAATTATATATAGACTGATTTCTATAGTCAAACATGATGTAGCTATAACCATTACAAATCTGTACTTTGCTCTTAATTTACATGTTAAATGATCTCTGTGAACGTAATACATTCAATATCCACCTGCTTTCAAATGGCAAGATGATTCGTTATCTAACACTGTTTAGCTACTGCTTAATGCAGTCGACCAGTTTTAATGACTATGCAAAATGCGCTTCATTTTCCGAGAAATATAAGTGCCAATTTAAGAAAAAATATTCAATCATCACGTGAACAACGCATACACAAGAGAGTAAAAGTTTTGACATAAAAACGCAAACACATCGGGTGAAATTTTATATGTGAAAGACAAACCACATGAAATAAATACTGGCAATAATTTGGTTAGTATCTCTGTGTCCGTGACAGTTGAACTAACCTGAAACGGCCGTTTTTTTCTTACTCTGAATTAGAAGTCGCATGTACAGAACCAGGCTCCACAGACTGCCCATCTATTTTCCCATTACTCTATTTTCTAGAGTTTGGGCAAATGGAAAGGGAAGCATGAGATTAGTTAGGTTCACCATCTTAACCCTCTATTTTTTTACTACTGTGGTTGTTGTTTCGATCTAAGCTGCTGTTATTGGAATTAAAAGAAGAGCTGATATTGTTTCTTTCGCATTTTCTCTCTCTCTCTCTCTCTCTCTCTCTCTCTCTCTCTCTCTCTCTCGTTTTGGTCTTCATTCATCACATCTTTAATTAGATCTTTACCCATTGACAAATAAGACTGGGTACTTTCTATCAAATCCTTTTATTTTGACAGAGATCTATTTATTGCATTAAATCAATTAAGAATTTGTTACTTTCGTCGGTGGCAAGTCTGTAAACGCACTTTTTAATATGAAGGAAAACGTTTGAATCACAATATCTAATTGAAAAACAACCAAAATCATTTGTAAAAACAATAATTTAGTTTTATAAGTCATGCTCACGAAAATGTTAACAAAATGTCGAGGGTATGTTAAGGCCAGTCCATAACTCTTTATCGAAGACTGATAAACACGAAAAAAAAGAGATGAAACATAAACTATTTTTGCATGATTGACAGCTAGTTGTGTGTAATTTTGCTATTAATGTACGCTTTGTTTTGAGCTGAAGAAAGCCGATTTCCGCAATGATCACAAATCATCATTTGTATTATTTTACAGTTTCTAGAGAAAACATTTTCAAAGCCACTCACTAGATATTCTGACAAAATTCCAAGAATGCGGTGGTGAAAAATTGCACAATATATTGTCCAAACGCCATTTGTTCCCATCCTTGTAATTTCCTGTGTTTGAATTAAGCAAATTAAAATGTTTTCTCATAAGGTCAGTGTTTTCGTCTTCCAAGGGAAATACTCGATACGATTAAAAGTGCTCCATACCGGGGGCGTTGGTAAAGTAGAATTGATCCCGAGCAGCTGGAAACGAACTACGTGAAAGGAGAAATTAAACTTCCCAGGTATTCGTATTATTTCTCATACATAACGATAGGCAAATATTTCAATCTTTTATATAATTACAATTTTTGCCACGTAATCGGTGCTCTGATGCAAAGCACGTTATATGCGTTATGTCTTCAAGGTGTTACAGATATTTCATGAAATTAGCCACGCATAAAACAGACGTAGTATACATTGATTGGAATAGAAGTTAATGAACCATACTCAAAGTAATTTTGTCATGTTTTTCATTTCTTGAATTGTTTGAAAATTTCCTGTCATTGTTCTGTAAAAGTTTCATGCTTTTGAATCAATCATATGAGGTCCTCATATAAGAAGGAGGAAACCATAATGCAGTTTAATACAAACAAGAAACGATGTCTTTGTTTCCTGTAGGAATAAGAAGAATTTTAACTTTTGAAAAATTATTCATCTATTTTAATGGTTATTCCTTTCAAAGTGATTTTTCATATTTAAAACATGCTGTTAATAAACTTAGTAAATATTTTGCATCAATCACATACCTTGTGAAATGCAATATTTTGCATAAACGAACACTGTATAAGTAAATATACATTATTTTAAACAAAAATCCAATGCTTGCTTATGGATAGTCTGTACAATTTGAACAATTCGTGACAATCCAAGTACAGAAAGAACGCCACTTGCTTATAAAGAACCCCAATACAGCATGGCACAGATAATTCGATATCGTAAAAGTATTTGTTATATCTATATTAAATTTTATGCATTCAATCACGATGATTACAGAAAGAAACTGCTCCGCCCACATTTATGTTAACACATGTTTCAAATTAGTTTTCTTAAAGTGCGCAACATCTGATGCATAATTGCTCGATTACAAAAGTCATATCTATAAGATTGATTCTCGTTTGGTCTTTATTGGTACAATTATCAAATGCAATTCACATTTGACACTGTACATTTTCAAAACAGTCAGGACGCTATCGTTACTTTTTGTGTGTTGATACTATATCAAGTTAAGTATAAATCAAATGGATCTCTATTATGTTCCTGGCAATTAACGATGCAGACATCCAGGTAAGTTTTTGCACAGGTTCTGAAGCGATTTGCCAAAAAATCCCCATTCGAATGAATTTAATTTAATTAGTTATTTTCTTTCTTTACTTTAACTTTTGATTTTTTTGCTAGTCTTTAAAAATGCTAACTCTACTGAAATGAAAATGGTCCCATAACTTTCTCATAATTTTGAAAATTTCAAATTTGTTGAATATTTTAATCCAATGACAAAACAGAAAGTTCTACTTGGCGTCATTTTACTTTTTGGAGTCTTGGAATCTGACCAGATCATTAAAGGCATACATACATACATACATACATACATACATACATACATACATACATACATACATACATACATACATACATACATACATACATACATACATACATACATACATACATACATACATACATACATACATACATACATACATACATACACACATATGTAGTACGTAGGTACATGAATGCTTGCGTGCGTGCATACGTGCATACGTTCGTACGTACATACATACATATATATATATATATATATATATATATATATATATATATATATATATATATATATATATATATATATATATATATATATATATATATACACACACACACACATTCATACGCACATACGCGCACGTCAGCAACTATGCACTCACCCATCCATTGGTTTCTTCCATCAATGCATATATTGATAGATGGGTTTATATTTACATAACTTATTATATACCATATTCATATGTATTTAGGTAGGCTGATATTTTGATTCTTTAAAGCAAGCGTTATAAACGAAACGAATAATATACCCTTATGAAACATTTATGTATTCCTACTTACATAAATTGCATATTGCACAGCTAAGCTATATCCCAGCACGTGTAATTATTCCCTTTGTATCAATATACACCTGTTTATGTCTAGGATATACAGGTGAGCTGCTATACTTACTTTGCAATTTTTTCTGATATAATTAAAAGTGTTTAAGGAGACTAAACATCGACACGTGACAATTTGAAATACCCCATATATATATATATATATATATATATATATATATATATATATATATATATATATATATATATATATATATATATATATATATATATATACTCTTGATAATGACACCTGGACGTAACTAAAAATGGGGCTCTTTGTTGTTTCCTCTATATAAATAATTCATCCGTAAAGGATATTGTTTATGAAGGAAAGACTTCCTTTATGCCGGGTATGGTCCTCGCAATTCTTATGATTACTTTTTTATTTACATCAATTATCACTAGTGTTTGCACACGAATTCATCTGGTGTTAAGTACTTATATTTTCGAAATCAAAATCATAAGTATGTTTAATAGTTAACAAGCAAGATAAAATCAATGTTCACGTTGAGTCTCTCCATTACTGAAATTATCAAGGTCCAATAACCCTCGTATGCAGTCAGAACCTAAATTATTTTCATAATATGTCACATTAAATTGCCTTCACACAATATGTTGTCTTTCAGCAGTAACAACTATTATGCTATGGATAATCCTGGTGTACCGAACATGGGACATAAATTGATCCATGCGATGGATAATCCTGGTGTACCGATCATGGGACATAAATTGATCCATGCGATGGATAATCCTGGTGTACCGAATATGGGACATAAATTGATCCATGCGATGGATAGTCTTGGTGTACCGAATATGGGACATAAATTGATCCATGCGATGGATAATCTTGGTGTACTGAACATGGGACATAAATTAATTCACGCCGTGTTCATAGTCCCCAATTACTTGTATGCAGGATTCTCCAAATTAAGTCAAATTAAGTAACTGCTCTGGTGGTCTAATGGTTAGAGAGTCCTCTTCGGATGCGGGAGGTCGTGGGTTCAATCCCCATTCGAATCATACCAAAGACTTACAAAAATGGTACTAACTGTTGCCTCGCTTGACGCTCAGCATTAAGAAGTTAGTGTTTAGACTGGTCGGCCTGGTGTCAGGATAATGTGACTGGGTGGGACATCATGCTACATGTCTGCGGCATGGTACCCCAGTGCTAGTCATCACTATAAACTGCCACACAGCAGACATCGTAGCGATATGACTGAAAAACAGACATCGTAGCGATATGACTGAAATTATTTTAAAGCTACGTTAAAAATTATAAACACCACACTAAATTAAGTCATATAAATGCACCTTTCAAGCGTCCTTCAATCACGTGGAGATGCCTCTTAGTTTAGACCTAACTTATACCTAATAATATATTTCTTTTTTCAGAGGCTTTCTCTTCTAGTTTAACTACAATCCGAAATTTGGCTTGATAGAAAGTAAATTCAAACATTCCGACGAAAATGGAACCATTAAAATGTCTTCATGGATGAATCTGCGATATACACTTTCACTTAGGACATGATTATATCTTGAACAAATGTTGGCCGGCAACAATCACGCTATGGATAAATTGTTGATTAAGTTTGTGTCAAAGGTGGTGGGACAGTGGATCTTACGACACATCCTTCTGGTCATTGTCGTTCTTGGAATAGCATGCATCATCATGAGCGCTCATTACATACAGACTGTAAATAATCTCAGAATCACCGGACCGCGAATTATCGATCTACACAGACTCACACAATCAAAGTATATACCAAAACGTTTCCAAAGCGATGAAGAATACAAATCTATGATTCAAAAAGGTCAGATACAAAATAGCGATCAGCCACTGAAATATCGTTTCACAACAATCGATGGAGTCGAAAATTTAACATCAGGTCGTACGAAAACTCAGTATCCGGTAACTTTAGACGCAACATATTTGTTGTCCAATCCTAATTTATGCAAGTCAGTGGCAAATCTATCAGCTCTTGTGATAGTTCACACTGCACCGAGTCATTTTGAGAGCCGTGATATCATGAGAAAAACATGGACTAATAATTCATACTTTCGTCACCTCGGGTCTGTCAGGACTTTGTTTCTGCTCGGCACAGTTCTGAATAATGCAACACAAATAAAAATTGAGAATGAATTTATAAAGCATGGGGATATTTTACAAGGGAATTTTATTGATGCTTATAGAAATCTTACACATAAGGGGGTCATGGGATACAAGTGGATATCAGAAAACTGCATGAATGCCAAGATGATTGTCAAGGTTGATGATGATGTGGTTGTGGATACATACAAATTGCTAAATGAATATGTTCCAAAACTTTCTGGTAGAAAAAAATACATTCTTTGTAGCTATAGTTATGAGAACACAATGCCGATCATCAGAGAAAAGAGCCATAAATGGTACGTTTCATTTGATTTTTTCAAGGGATATCAGTTTTATCCACAATATTGTAGTGGGTTCGGTTTAATTATATCTACGGATATTATCCCTTTTCTCTACAGGGCTGCGTATTTAACACCATTTTTCTGGGTTGATGACGTTTATCTTTATGGAATGTTACCATCCAAAGTCAAAGACATAGCCTATACATCACTTGAGGAATATTCTACTTTGGATTTTAAGACAGGACTAAATTGTATTATGAATAGTACAACACTATGTCCCATTTTGATATCGGGTGAAACAGAACCAGATGAAATGGTGATATTGTGGGATGAGATGGGGAAAGCTTATGAAAGGTTTGCAAATGTAAAGTTTATATCGTAAAATAGTCATATAAAAATGATGCCACAAATAAAAGGAATGATGAAGGAAATTAATAGCTTACATAACTGACACCAGAACTTACCGCTTTACTTAAAATAGTGCAACAACACAAGCTGCAGCAAAACAGACGCTACTAAGATTGATACCAAAAATAAAAGGACGAAAAGGAGCAAATAAAACAAGATATATTTAAATTCAAAAGTAAATAGTGACACTATGGTGGTGGATGAAACTAAGAAAGAAGAGGACTGGACCAGGAATCATATGTTATTTCTCTTATAGGTTTATAAGTTGGTCCGAGTTACTGTTTGTACGTATGTATGCATCTGTAAGTGGATGGATAGATGAATTGATTGTTTGATTTGTTTTCTTAGTCGTGTACAAATCTGCTGCAGATTTTTGTATATCATTAGGTTCGCAAATAGCATATATAAGGATAAGTATCATTGCGTGAAATTGGGGACAATGTACAGTTACTGTTGTTCGAGTATTGCGTGAAATTGGGGACAATGTACAGTTACTGTTGTTCGAGTATTGCGTGAAATTGGGGACAATGTACAGTTACTGTTGTTCGAGTATTGCGTGAAATTGGAGACAATGTACAGTTACTGTTGTTCGAGTATTGCGTGAAATTGGGGACAATGTACAGTTACTGTTGTTCGAGTATTGCGTGAAATTGGGGACAATGTACAGTTACTGTTGTTCGAGTATTGCGTGAAATTGGGGACAATGTACAGTTACTGTTGTTCGAGTATTGCGTGAAATTGGAGACAATGTACAGTTACTGTTGTTCGAGTATTTCGTGAAATTGGGGACAATGTACAGTTACTGTTGTTCGAGTATTGCGTGAAATTGGGGACAATGTACAGTTACTGTTGTTCGAGTATTGCGTGAAATTGGGGACAATGTACAGTTACTGTTGTTCGAGTTAAAATTATTAATGAGTACATCTGAATGCACACAGCAGGTTACTTGTGTTCTATTGGATACAAATGTCTACCGAACTATATAAGCACATATGACTGCCCCATTTTTAGTAGATACAACATAAAACTGTCAAACATAAACTTCTTGTACATCATATTTGTAGCATCATCGTGCAGAGTATGTAATCAACTGTAGAGAAAATAGAATTAGGAATCACATGCATATTAAATGTAGTTCATAATATCATTTTTGTTTTCGTTATACATGTACTAAGTGGAAAGTTGTGTTGTTTTCGTCTTTGTTGAATTTCTTATACTTATTTATGTGTTTTCTATTTTCCTTTCTCCTATTGTAAAATAGTTACAATTACTTTTTTCTTGTTTAGTTAATAGGGTTAATAACAAGAGTTACACAATGTATTTTTAAAGGATTAAGTAATGAAATTTGCAATGTTACCATTTTCGTGTTTTTAATTTTGTACTTTTCAAAACATTTAAAAAAAACATCAGTGTATGAATGTTTTAGCAAGAGCATTTTGCAGGGCAAGTGTGGATAAGAATGTAAAATATTTTTATTAGGATGGTAAAAATAAAATGAAACATTTCATAAGTAATGTACCACTTGTATTAGAAATAGGTTTAAGCACGATTAAGGTAGTTTAGTTAAAGAATTCTGGTGGCATATATATTGTCAGAAATGCTAGATAGAAGTAGAAAATGTTTAGGAACAAATTGGAATTAAAGTAAAATTGTAATACAGTTTACCATGATTTACCGTTATGCTATGCTGCGTTTGAAGAAATATTTTAAGATTAAATTGGTCACGACAGATCAATTACCAAGAAGTCAAGTTATTGGTTATAATGATTATAATTATTTCTGTAAACCAGTTTCCTTCTGAAAGCTTGATAGTACAAGACATCCTACATGAAACATTAATTAAGCAAATAAATAATAAATAGTGATTACAAGCAAACAGTGTAATTGCATTATTATCTATATTAAATTTCTTTTATATTCATGACCTTTGTCCCATCAAAATAATCTAATTGTCCTCTTTTAAATTGCGCTTGAAAAGGAATCTAGAAAAGGTTTATATAAGATGCTACCAGGATGAACTATTAGCAGAAATTATACACGCATGACTTCGACTAGGTCTACATAATCTTTTTAAGAACAATATGTCATAGTAATAAATGATCTTGAGGGGAATCAGACACCGCATTACATTTTCTTTTAATCTGTTCAATATGTGTTATTGTCAGAACCTAAGTAAACGAATTTTGGTCCATAATAAAGATATAACTTCGATTTTAATGGATAAAATTTTGCAATCGCTTAAGACCAATGACTTGATTTTGAAGGAGATAAAAAATATTATTGTGTCTAGGAAATGGAGTCCGATCCGGTGGCCGAGTGTTTAGAGCGTCCGCCACTGATGAAGGAGGTCGCGGGTTGAAATCCTGCCCAAGTGATACCATAGTCTTATATAAACAACTAATAATAGCTTCATTATTCTCTGTGGGATTGAGCTCATTTGCGAAATTATTATCCATGTAAACGAAGAAGGATATATGCTGATCATAGCCAGGTTTTGGAGATTCCCGAGTGACTTTTGTAGGCTATTGTGTTGTAAATAAGCAAGACTCATTAGATTATTCAAGAAGGTTATTTTTCAATAGGTGATGGTTTAAATAATAATAATAATAATAATAATAATAATAATAATAATAATAATAATAATAATAATAATAATAATAATAATAATAATAAGTGAGCTGAAGTCAAACAGAGAACTATATTATCTTGTAATTGTGAAGATTTTAACAGTCTTGCTTTATCATTTGGCACTATAACTTGTCATATGTTGTGTCCAGTTTTTGCTGAATTTTATTTTCTTGAGATCATTTAATTCAATTATTTTCTTTGGAAATACTAAAGTGTTTTGACAAATAACTTGGATAAAGGCATTCATTGGAATTTATGCTGAGTTCAAAGCTGAAATAATATTTATGTTATTCAACAAGAGACTGTTGACGCACTAGCACGACACTGGCTATAACATACACGTCCTGACCTTCAATTTTGTACTTTTAATTTTGGGGTTATTTTTGGATTTATTTCGTAAAACCGTAAGTTCTCTTTCTCATTTTTCACTTTGTATTGTAAGAAATAAAATTACTCGTTAAATTTTATAAAGCTTGATGTCTTCACTTCTTTATCTTACCTATAGTAAGAGCACAGACACTATAAACATTTACAACAGTCCTTCAAAACAATACAACATAATGTAAATTTAGTTCAACGATTTCTCCGTTGTT